TGTGTTGAGGCTGCAACCCTTGCAGGCTGTTGGAAGAGAAGCTTTGTAGGCTTATGGGTTGACTTGTTCGCTTGCCTATCTGGTCACACGTTATACGGTATGCATAGTGTAATCGTGCCACTGCGAGCAATCTGGAGAATCGATAGGTATGCGATTTCGCTGAGGATATGTGTGTTTTTGTTAATGCGGTGTGAGGTAATCAGAAACAATACAGTAATTCCTATGAAGGAGGTAAAGCTAGAACTTCTTCGCAAATAGAATTTTTAAGAGTTTTACAGCTACAAATTTCTCGTGCTGTTTTTTCAATTGGCCGTACACTTATATGAATTGGGTAGATAGTGCTGCATTGTATACTAAGGTCAAGTTCGTTGTGTACGTAAGACTATCAGTGGATCTGTAGCCATTGTTCCAAAGAGCAGGGTTCCTAGTGTGGAGGTGACACGACAGCAGCGAGTGTTCGTTCGTCTCCACACCTGTGGGTCGCTTCGGTAACCAGTTACCGCTACAGGACCCATGGACCTGCCGTTATGTTAAGGTCGTAAGATGCATGTCAATCCTGCGTTTCAACATGATATTTACACTTCACTTCCAAGTGATTGATACGCTTGAAATATCAAGTGACCCTACGGCCGTGATATGAGCTGCCTACGAACATTGCATACGCATAGTAGGCATAGAGTTTGGAACAATTTTCCTCCTTCAACAATGCCTCCGGAATTACCTACTTTCCAATGACAACATGTTTCTGAGTAGTTGCCAAGTCGATAACAACGTGTGTCACGGCGTTCACACATGACTGCTTTTAAGACTAGCTAAAACTGTGGTCCATAGCAGGATTAGCGGGCGCGGTTGCCTTTGTAAATGGTTGCGAACACATTGTAGGAACACCCGTAGGTGAGACAACAGTGTTTGTCTGTTCCAAGTACTCATCTGAATAGCCAGAGTAAAATGCGTGCGTCACCACTAATTATACGTCTTGCGTTCTTTCTAGCAGGACGATGTGGCATGTATAAACACCGTGGTCATTGCAGTCCCTTTAGGTGCTTCTTTGTTGAGTAATGCCGATTTCATGGGGATAGCATTCCAGTCCATGTGCGTAATAGGGAGGTTCCATCTGCATTGACTGTGCTTCCAATGGTGCCATTCGGAGAGCCACTTATCAAAGTGTCTTAACACGTATGGGCGACCATATGGAAGTGAAGCCTAATTATCCTATGAATACCTAGGTTCCTATGACCTTTAAATAACGATATACATGGAGACAGTGAATCGATACTTGATTAACAAAGTCACCCATGAATGTGGAGACAAACGAACACTCACTAACGTTGTGTCAACGCCACACCTGGAATCCTATTATTTTTTGTTGAGTCATCAACTGTGATAGAGGTAAGCAGACATAGAACTTTTGTTGTTCAGCTTCAGGTTGGTCTACTAACTTCAGTGGGGACAATGTCCCCCGTGGTCGTCACAATAACAATCGCACAAAATTATATAACCACCTAACAGTCATTGCTGAACTGCGGAATACCAGTTAGATGATTGCCTGTCTACGCCACCATGGTTAGGCCGCTGAATAAGCCACTACCAGGTAGCGGCTAGCGATCACTAAGCATAGACCGCTTCATGTGCTGGTTAATATGTCTGTCCGCACTGGTTACGGCTTAAGCTTCTGATCATGCGGTAGGTACGATCTCCTCTCTAGACAGGCATCACAAATTGCCCATTGGACGGTTTCAGTTTGGAGACCAATCATCAAGTTTTCCTTCAGATAGGCATCAAAATAGAACAGAAGGTGATGCTCGACCACTTTCATTGGACTGTCTGTCGCTTATGCTGTTGGCTTCCAACCGGTGTCCCATGACCATTGGAGTGTCTACGACGCCAAAACAGCGTTTTTAGTCTCGCTAACTTGAAAGTACTGCACGCCGATTTCGAAAATATGCCACGCTAAAAGCTTGGTACAATGCACTAACATGCGTGTAAAATGGCATCGTGCCGCATTAGCGCGGACCGAAATCGAACGCCTTACGCTAACTGGGTGTTGTACTTTCCCTATGACCTAGTTGTGTGCCACCCACGATGGCCATCGGACAGTATCACACTGAGGTAGTCTTCCGCGATTCAGAACGAACACTGCAACGATCTAAGACCAATTATTAATGAACAAATGGTCCTTCTGTATTGTACACAAGTGGGAATCACTGGTTCAATCTAGCACACTTCTAACGGGCTGATTCTTCGCTAGTTATCTGCCTGAGTTCATTGTCCCGCGCTCCTCTTTCATCTGCTGCTAATTGGACCACTCCTATTTTGACCGGAAAAGTTGCTCGTTGTTCATAAAATTCCAGGCCAATTCTGAGCTTGACTCGAAATTCATCCTCAGCCAAACAGCCATCACACGCCCGGAAAAGCACTGTACAGCTGTTTCCTCATTTTGGGATTGGTCAGCAGTGTTCATTTGGCCTCCTGTTGGGTTAGAACTTGCAACCCGACTGTTACCAGTCTTTGGTTAGGACTACTGAGGACGATAATGACTGGCATGACAAGTTGCTAGTGTTGTGTAGCGCTGTTCAATGATTTTCCTGGCGTCTGATAGCTGTCTACATGTATCATTCAATCCCCTACTACTCTTACAATTCTGGGCTTTTCATCCGACACGTGCCACTGTGGTCGGTGGTGTTGATTATCTTTCTACTTGCTAACCTTATCTGCTCCACTTGCTCGGTCTGTCAGCCAACACCGCACCGTTCGCCGTCCGCTCAGGGTCAGTGTCGTACGTGGGCAATTCGCCTGCCCTTGTTTAGGACCAAGACCACAATTGATTAACAGCACTGCAGACTAATTTCCCACTGTTCATCCGGCTTTCTAATCGTGATCAACTTACGCTGACACCACTGACTGACGTTCCAGTCCACTGGCCGCACATCATTTTCGCTTGCGTAACCTGCCAACTACGATCACGAAAACGTCCCAACTTATACCCTTGGAAATTTAAGGTTCCAGGCTTTCAAAACGCTTAGATATGGCATAGATTAACGCAGTACGACAAGCCAGTGAAACGATGCTGAGACCGATGGAGTCACTACATAGCGTCAAATCCGTCTCTCCTGTCAGGAAGCAGGTGTCAAGTGAAGTTCGCACGCATGCACCTAAGTAAGAAGTCACTTACATGTGTCGGCCAGTGGGATGACTAAATGTTTCACCCGGTCGAAGCCAGGGCGTGAAATGAGAGATGTCTTGGACCCCATTACGACTTTGACATCAGATTACGTTGCACAAGAGCTCTCTGCATAGTTCAGGCAGTGTTAACTTAACCAGGTGGTCTGGTCTTTCTTTTTTACGGAAAGAACTCACGCTAATAGCGTTGACCACTATTTAATCAAATACATGAATTCGCATTGTCAGAACGTCCATCGAGTCTTCTGTACTGGGAACGGCAAGTTAGTCCGCAAAGATACAGACCTACGACATGGACTCCAATATTTGTTTGCTCAGTCAATGCATTACCTCATGTGACACTTGCGTTGTGAGCGCGCAACTTCCAAACCACCGCGTAGCGTGGTTTCGTGTACAAACTTGTGCTGCCGAAACTTACTTCAATCATAGTGAGTAACTTGTGCTAAATCAGAGCATATGTCTACCTCTATCGTCTTCTGCTGCTTAGTCAGTAAAAACGCTAGTTGAACGTTCTGCCTTTCTCTCACTGGTCGGGCTGCGATCGTGTAGATCATATTCATCGTGTACTGCGCGCGTCACTCAATTGTCGAAGTTCCGTCATCGTCTAGAAAGTTTCGCTAGGTTTCGCACAGGCGTTATCTTGTGATTTGGTCCGAATTGTGTAATCGTCTACTCGATGTGTAGGAACGACCTTAGGCGAACTTTACATTTGAGCGCGTCCATCAAAAAGGGGGTCTAAAATAGTTTATGAATACGATTTTGCGACATTTCAACTAGTTTTCATTGTGCATGTGGAGCATACGGATCACGATGGTTCCGGCAATCCACAGGTTGCGTTTCACAAGCCGCTAAGTCGTTTTTTGATCTAATGTAAAAAATTTCATGACATCCTCGGCCCGAATTTGATGTCTGCTTTGGATCGACCATTCTGAATTAGAACTGTTGGCACCAATGACTGTGCCTTCCTGAAGTGCCACTGGGCAGTGCTTCATTGACCTCCACGACAATGTCCTGAGTTATCAGTCACACCAATGACTCAATCCCAAGTCAAAAAGTTGTCGCAACTTTTGCACCTTCCTGGAGAACTTTTTACTGCTCCTAACCATTGTAATGTTTTTCTTCTCCATTTGGTTAGCCGTTCACTGTTTTTCTTCCTCTAATTTCTTCACTCTTATTATTTCAGTGGTCACGTGATTCTAACTTGATCCTATGAGATCGACTACAGTGAAAGCCGACCTGCTGCGAAATGCTTACTATCCAGCAGCACACGTCGTGGCAGTTCGGCTAAGTGCAACGCTGCACTTTGGATCCAGATGTTCGTTCTCCACTTTGTTCCTATAATTTTGATCTACCTTCTTGTTGCTGACTTATAGGATACAGATTGGTTAGGAATAAACACCGCCTTGCCAACCTCTTCACTTCCACTGGATACCTTGTTTGCTTGTGAATACTGTTCATTCGGCTTAGACGCTTTGAACTGATTTGTACCGGTATGCCCACTTCCTAACCTCGGGCCTGTTTCACACACGTTTTGGTCTGCCACTCTAGCGTGAATGACATTGATTTCTAGTGTATCTTTTGCGTTTGCTTCGCACAGGAACATCAGATTGATGCTGTATTCTTTTGGACTTCCAACATTTTTGTAGAGTCGTTTATCTGGTGCATGTGTTCGCTTAAGATCCACTCGCATAAATGTTACCTATCTAACTTCGCCGTTCGATGTTATACATCACATCCTTCCGAAGCGCTCGTTTGTTCTTTTCATGTGCACTGTTACGCCCGTTGCTCAGCGAATGTTTTTCTCCTTAACTCTCCTTCAGTCTGCTTTGTTGGCTGCCTTTTCCGCCGGTATGATAATGACTCATATTCCTCCTGGTCCTCACAAACCAAGCACTCGGACAGCTCCGTCTGATCGAGCCACTGTTGACGCAGCGGTTTCGAGTGGCAACCAATCGCAACAGGCATGCTCCTTCTCTGACACGTATGATGAGGATTACAAGGTGAATTACGCAGACCGACGACCGGACACAGGTAACTATTCCGTTGGATCCCATTGTTTGGACTCCGGTATCCTGCTACGCCAAGGGATTATACTACGCGCCGGTGGAGGCAGTCGAAGTGGTTCTCCAGCTTCGTCCAGTCCGTCATCCCAGTCGCTGTCGGTAGCGTCAGCGACGGTCGCTCCAAACAGCCCGTTGGTCAAAACCAAAGAGGAATGTTTGTCTGCTGGATCCTCCCAGTCCAGTATCAATGCCCCGGGGGTAGCACGATCTCATCTGATACCGTACGTGAATATGCCTCCGACACAACCGCAACGAGTTATCGCAATGATCAAGGGCACACCTACACCTGCAGCGAATGAACCCCGAGTGCTTTCGACCACCATTCCAAGCTCGGCACTAATCACCCCAAATCCATGTTAGTGTGTTTCTACCCACTAGTTTTATCGTATCCACTTTTCCTGCATTGTTCACCGATACCAACAACGCTGCCTATTTGTTTTACTCACTTTTGCACGCATCGACCCGTCACTTAAGATGCTTTAGCATTCTCTGGCCACTTCACTCTAAGCACTAGAGAACTAGTCAGATGGAGAGAATGTACCCCTTACTTCTTGCTTGGGTGCGTCCTTCTTAACGCAAACGAGATTAGGCTCACTGTTGCATGCCATACAATATCCACTTTCATTCTGCACCGTATTGAGACGAACGCAATTGCGGGAAATACTAAACTTGCATCAGGATGATCCATGACGTTGATTGATCGAGGTAAACATGGACTGCGTTATTTAGAATATCTATACTCCAGGAAATTTATCCTTTTATCGACTCCTTGAAAGCAATGTATGGATCGAGATTGGAGTCACTGAGAACGTTGATCGATGGTAGTCCAGGCGCTACCTGCACACAGACTCCAGATATAATGCAGATCTGGCGAAAACACTTTGCCTGTCTCTTGAACAACCGTTCAGAGATCAACTGGCCTACATTGAACGGCCTCAAGCAGCACAATGTGAAGGCGAGTTTGGCGGACACGCCGACACTGGATGAGACGCAGAGAGCACCTGCTCAGCTGCGAAACGGCAGGTGTGCCGGGGCCGACGGGATCCCGCCTGAAGTGATGAAACACGGCGGACCCGCGTTGGTGACTGCGCTGCACCACTTGGTGCAACGCATATGGATTAAGGAGGAGGTGCCTCCTGAGCTGAAGGATGCCCTTGTGCTACCATTGTACAAGGGCAAAGATAGCAAGCAATGTTGCGCGAAGTATCGTGGCATCAACTTGCTGAGTTATGTGGGCAAGATGATTGCCCGAATCCTGCTCAACCGCCTCGTCAGTCAGGTTGTGAAACCAAACGTGGCGGAAGAGCAGTGCGGATTCCGTCCGGGTCGCAGCACTATAGATATGGTGTTTGCGGTTTGTCAGTTACATGAGAAATGCAGAGAACGACACCAGCCGTTGTACACATTTTTTGTTGATTTCACCAAGACATTTCATACGGTGAACCGCGAGGCATTGTGGCTGGTGTTGGGTAAATTTGGTGGCCTGCGTAAGTTTGTAAGTTTAATTGAATGTCTGCACAGTGGTATGCGGGCGAGGGTGCAGCTGAGTGGAGAGACCTCGGATGACTTTGTAGTTGTCTCTGGTGTGAAGCAAGGCTGTGTCTTAGCTCCTGCCCTGTTTAATATATATCTTCATGCAATGTTATCCTGTGCTTTTGTTGCGGCTTGTGTTTACGGTGTTCGTGTGGAACACCGTATTAATGGTTTGTTGCTGAACATACGTCGTTTCGGTGCGAGAACCCTAGTCTGTAAGACAACTAACCGTATGTTGTTGTTTGTTGATGACTGTGCGTTGTTTTCACACAGCGCGGATGAGTTGCGGCACATGACTAGTGCTCTGGCTTCGACAGCGGCCAAATTCGGGCTCACCATCAACACAAGCAAAACTGTCTGTCTGTTTCAGCCTTCACCGGAGGTGCAATCTTCAATATTGCCGCAAATCAGCATTGGCGGTTAAGTAATAGAAACCACCTCCCGCTTCAGCTACCTTGGGAGTGTGATATCGACTGATCAGCAGCTACACGTTGAGTTGCGTATTCGTGTGTCGAAGGCAGCAGCGGCATTCGTGAAGCTTGAGTACCGAGTGTGGAACAACCATCAGCTTACCATTGGCACGAAGCTGATGATGTACAAATCCATGGTGCTGTTCGTTCTTCTATACGGCAGTGAAACGTGGACGATGTACCGGGGGGATGTGCGATATCTCGAGCGGTTCCATCAACAGTGTCTGCGACGGATTTTGCGCATCGGTTGGGGCGACAGAGTTGCTGACACGGACGTGTTGCGACAAGGTGGAATGTATGCTGTGGACTGCATACTTTTGCTGAGACACTTGTGGCTCGGTCATGTGTGGCGTATGGATTCGACGCGGATACGGAAACAACGCTTATATGCTCAGCTGAGTATTGGTAAGCGGCATGTCGGGAAACCAAAATTACGTTACCAGGCCATGATCAAAGTGAGCCTCACGTTCTAATCTTGATTGCAGGTCATGGGAATCGAAGGCGGATGATCGGCGTGCATGGCGCTATCTAATCACGAAGGTAGTTGCCGAAGTGCTGGAGAAAGACCTCATACATGCAGAGAAGAAGCGGCAAACACCGATGGGTTGTACTCCATCGACATCGAGCGCATGGTGCTGTAGCACATGCGGTCGCGAGTGCCTGAGTCAGGCAGGCAGGCGTAGTGAGTCATGAGCGAGGCCACTCGGGACCACAACCAAAGCGACGATGGGTCCTGCAGATAACCTAGGCAGAACGGGCGCAGCGTATGTAGGTACGCTAATTTCGATTTACTAACCGTGTGCTTACATGCTAAGTCTAATTATTTCAGGCGGTGGGTTTGCAATTTTGTTCTAATGCTTTTCTTTGTCATATAAATGTGTACCAGTACTTTCTTCTATAAACGTACGTCGCTGAAGCTAATTGTAGTTAATTTCGATAACATTTTCGTGTTTGTGGCATTTCCTTAAAATTTCTCTTCTGCCCTCTTGAACTTATCGCGGATTCGTTTGTAAACACTTCTTTTATTACGCCCATTTAGTGAAGTGTTATATCTCCGTATCTGTCTGCATTATCTGATTCATTTTCTTTCATCTTGTCGTTTCCAGTGATTGGCTGTTGCTTGATATCCCCGGTGTGGCTGCACTTAATGTGCATGTTGACAATGTGTCTACCTGTCTGTTACCCACTACCTCGTCCATACTGGTTTTAGGAGTCAGTTGGTCGTTGCTGGAGGGGACAGGGTGCACGGTCTTTTTGGCCGTGTTAGAATCAAAGAGTGGTTCCATGAACTCAGCGTGTTGCGGACTACGGTCCAGCCACCGCGTTGTGTGCGGTTGATTCCCACATGCGGTGTGCTTTTGTTTGTCTGTGAAGGAGTGTGGGCCGGCTCCGTTTATGAAACGTGGCTCCCATCCACATGCCTCCCGGTCTTATTCCTTCGGGTTTACACTGGATATGGGGTGTGTGGTTGGAGCTGTGGGTGATGCAGCGCAAGCTACCCATCGCCCTTCTGTAGGCGCAGGCGTCCTGTGGCTGGCCACAGTGACAGGCAAATCCAAAACCGAATGCCGCCAGCCATATAAATCATCCGTTCATCATGCTGAGACATGATATGGCAGACATCACGCTGCCTCACCACATTTGGACTACACCGACTTACGTTTAAACCGGATCTTCTTGACCTGGATGGAAAGTATACCGTTTTGTTTGATTTACCCAGCTCCTTTATTCTGCTGCATATTCCGCGCCAATTCTGTGTTTGTTGTTTAATATGATGTGATTGTTGACAAGGTTCCCATCTGTCTAGCACCATCCACCTCGATTGCTGCTTCCAGGAGACTGTTAATTGTTGTTAGGTGGACGAAGGGCACCGTCCTTGTGATGGTGGTAGACTCAAAGACTGGTTCCATGCATCCATTGTAGAGTGAACTACGGCCCATCCAGTGTTCGTTTGGTACGCATGGTTCCCCTCGTAGCTAGACAAAGATGCTGTTGCTCTGTATGTTGAAATACTGTTGGCCGTCTCCGTTCCTTATAACATTCTAGTTCATTAGAACAAGCTAGTACATTAGTACAACAGATAGCATTAAATAAATTGCGTTGGCTTGGACACGTTCTACGTATGTCCGGTTTCGGCCTTATTTTAATTGCCAGATGTAGGGTGGCGCAAAGGTCGTTGTGGACAAAAGTTAACTTCGCAGCACGAAATGAAGTCACTGACGACCAAACTTGGTGTGGTCTGTCCGTCTCGCCTTCTAGACTGAAGTCCACGTGACCTACTTTGTGCTTGGCACGAGATGTTACAAGTCTTCACTCTCAGTCAGCACCGGTGGCGTATCTGTTGCCGTCTCCTAGTCGGACAATCTGTTTAAAGTGTGTTCGGTGCCGATTTATCAGCGGGTAATGGCTGATTAAAACGGGGTGCAGTGAAAGCCGTAAGGAAGCTGTCTCACTGATGCCGCCTTATCTTGGCACGATAGCCAGCTGTTTGTGACAGTGTGTTGTTGACAAGGTGTAGGCAAGTTGACCCTGATTGTTTGTTTAGGGCACTACAGTTTTCCGGTAATTTCCCCGTCTCTTCCTCTTATTATTTATTCTATAGTTCATCATTGTTGTATGGTAGCGAAGCATCAGTTCAAGTGGCTGATGTACTGCTGTTGATGACACGTGGCTCCCATCCACATACCTTCCGGTCCTATTCCTTCGGGTTTCGCACTGGATATGGGGTGTGTGGATGAAGCTGGGGGTGGTTCAGCGCAAGCCACCCATGTAGGCCCAGTCGTCCCGTAATTGTCCTTTGGAGTTTGCAGTGACAGTCAAATCCAAGACCTTACGCCGCCGACCATGTAGATCCTTCTAGCTTCTGGTGGCATCCATCTTCTTATTTTCTCGAAGAATTGTCATAACCCGAACGCCTGCGAACAGATTTGCGGTTCGGACAGCGAATCACCGCGCGATCATCCGACCTGAGTTATCAGCATTCACTATTATTTTTATTAGCATTATTATCTTAGTAGTGCTGCGGACTGATAGTGCAGATGAAGGAAATGTACTCGGGATCAGCCAATGAAAGCACCCCCCCCCCACATGAAGTGACCAACATCAAACGAGCCAAGTGGGCACGATAGAATCCATCCGACATAGCACATGCGAAGAGCACCGTTATCGCAGTGAAGTGTGTGCCGGGTGGGCTCAGACAGCATTGAGCGACCGTCCTACATGCGCTAACAAACCCAGACCGACGACCCGGCGTACGATCGCTATTGGCCAAGTATGCGAACCCAACCAACTTCAGTCGAATTGACGGAAAGCACATCAATTGCCGGCCACAGCTGCTGTATATGATTGCGCAGACCAGGTAAACAAGAAGAGGAGACGCGTCCTAAAAACAACCAGACTCAACGTGGCCGCGAGCAGAGATAGACATGGACTGGACAGATCACAGCGGACGAACGAAGATGACAACAAGAAATGGCCAGTGGAACGCTGTCACAGTGAAACGACATTTGGAATTCATGTGAAACACACATGATCCTAATGTCCATCCAGAACTTGTTTTTGCACAGAGGGCTTATGCTCTACAGTGGTTGAGTATTTGGGTTAGCTACATGTATAGTTGATTTATGTGCTTCTATGGTTTACGACTTACCTTTTTCTTTTGATCCTCGCCTTTCGTGAGACTATTCAGTATGTTCCACCTCGTTTTTCAGATAATTTGCAGTTAGCTGGGCTGAAGACGTCGGATAGGTTTGATATACTCCATGTTTTCTGAGTTACGCCGTTGAGAGTTTCAGTGTCACGTGACGTAACTCCTCTTCCCTCCTTTTTCTCACGAACCTTTACATAGCGGACACAGCGACCGATTACACCTCTCCTAATTCGACCGGATCCGCCTCCCCTGCTCCTATTCCTCCGGCTGAGAATTTAGTGACCAAGCCGATTACAAACAACGGCCGCCCAGAACCTGGCAACAGGCATCCTGGTCAACGTCATCAACAGGAAATCCAGACCCCCCACAATGACCAAATACTGACTTCCGTCTCCGCCTCGCTTGATTACGATGTGCCACCGGACCAAATTGGATACTCAGCCAGCTCCAACGTGACAAGCAGAGTCATTATCCCTTACGCGCCGGGAATTAACGGCAGCCCCACCAGGTTTCGAGCTCCCACTTCGGATCGTGTCGTTCGATCTGTGGAGGCCATTATTGTGCGAATTCGCGAACTGGTGCAGGTAACCGATGGTTTGAGTTTTGTCTTTGCTAGTTGATACTTCCAACCATCGACAACGTTGTGCTCGTAGCGCAGATTCTTTACCATGAGTTTATAATGCAAGTGTTTATCGATTTCTTTCTCAACCAACTAGTCCTCCATATTTTCCTCCACGTGGGGCAGCACGCTACTTGCTCATCAACTTCCAATTTTACTCATGACTTTAGTCATGGGATTGAGTTTTATACAAAACAGCATACACCACCTATTATCTCGAGTTCCCCGCGGCGTGATTTAATTTGAGTCCACGAAAATTGCGAAGCTGGTATTCGTTTTCTGTTTCTCGCAGACAGGCGTCATGTTGACCCACGTGAAGCGCTCATTTGTATCCTTCTGCTCCAACCATTTTGTCTTGTGACTTATTACTTTTGCACAAATTCGAACAAACTGTTTCTGGTACACCTACTTACCCTACTTTCTCCACTTTCGGATTTCCCATGAACCTTTGTATGGCGCTCCATTCACCTGTAGGTTGATGTCTGTTTGTTCGTTTCTCCTTTTCAGTGGACAAAATTTCTTTTAAGTACGTGTTGGGGGATTTTAGTCCATCCTAGTTGGCTTGTACTCCTAGCTCTTGGAGTCCATTTAGGGAGCGAGGAATTAAGCTAGAAAAGATCAGTTAAACTGAGTACTACTTCACTGCTTATCTCTACATCTCCCTCGATCTGACACGCATGCTAAAGGTTACCGCGCATTCCTGGTTGTTGACATGGTACCAAACCAAACTGTTCCCTGGGATGATTTCCTCTGGGTAAACATTTATGCGCTTACCATTAATTGTGTCTTCCTATCTTCTGCACAGCGTTGATATACGTCACATTGAAGATGGTGTTGCTTCCTATTGCTGTCAGAAGTTCGGTCACAGTGAACGTGGTCCAGCGGTTTTGCTAGCTGTCTTGCATAGTCAAAAAAACGTTTCCGTAGCATGTTTCCTACGGACGGCATTTAAGGGTATGGATCGATCCTCCAGCTAAGTTCCGGATACATTGTGAGCTTCCGATTGATCTTAACTGGGATGATCGTACTTAGGTCCTTTTCAGTGTTTTCCTACAATCAGGAATCGACAAGAACTGACTACAAAGATAGGCTGTTTATCTGTCTCTAATTAAAGATGTGTGTCTTTTGTTACCAATGTTTACTATCCGTCCCTTCGCTTTGCTTGACCATTCGGTAACTTATTTTTTGGTCGTAAGCTTCTAGTTGATAAAAACTCATGTGGCAACATAATAACTGGATGAATTAGTTAATGTATCCCACGATAAGCAGAATGCGTTTCTAATTTTAAGTCTAGTACTCATTTTTATCTACCTCACCACATCACCGAACTGAGTGTAGGAAACGCAGTTCAATTTTCTTGCAACTTCTAATGGATTTTGTTTCTTCTTTTAGTTTGTCTCTATCCAACCAATCTACTTGTTTGTGTGTTCGATTAGCCGAGCCTGGACATAAATCCATTCATTTGGGTACCAGATACTGGACGCCTGTGTTTTGCCGCTAATGCTTTGATGATGTATTTCGAGTCAATTATGTGGAAATCAGGTGACTTAGGTTGCGAGACGACGTCGCCATCTCATACCTTCCTATCAATCACAATACATGCAACAATATCAGGTAAACGGATAATCACAGTTTTAAAGAGACCATAAACAGCCAAGCACTTGTGCTACCAGGGTAGGCTTAAAACCGTTTTCGCTCGTGCAGCACCTGGATGGAAGAGATCGCGTGGCGCTCAGCTGTCCACTTGGCGACAGCATATGAAACCATTAACTTCACGTCTTGTTGCGCTTGGATTCACAGGTCTGTCTGGATAGGGACCAAATAACAATGAGTGCCGATGTCTGGATACAAATCAGACTATGGCGCGCAATCGAAACTAGTGGAAGATCTGTGTAAATACTAGTTTCGATTTAGCTGCCTAATGCTTAACATTTGTGAAAGAAAAACGCAAAAGAGGGTATGTGTAAAATAACACCAAATTGTTCCGTTTTTCGTTATTGCAACACAATAGCTGAAGTGTTTTGCTCATCTCCAGCTAGTGTGTCATATTGATGATGTGATTAAACCTGTGGTTTCCATGATTTTTATATGGCTCCATGTCTATTCGTTAGATTGTAGTTAAAGCCACAGTCAGCCGTTTTCAATGCGCAGCGGCAGTCGCTCGCGATCGGTGACGATGTATTCTATTAGCTTAAGTATGTGAGTCCGCCGATCGCGCAATAGGATTGTGTATGACTGATCAGGATTGTCGCGGTGCATGGTGGTGGTATGCAAGTGCTTTGTGACTGTCGAGGCAACTCAGTTCCCCGACTCAGTTTATTCCGTCGTCACTGACCCTAATCGGCCGCGTAACTACTTGAGGATTGATTCTGACACCTAGACTTCGGTTAGTACGCCCAACGTAGCCGTCTCACAGTTACAGCTGAATTTATGTAGACAGTAAAACATGCACTGCCTCGTCTCGAATGTCTTAATCTATAGCACATAAGCATAGGACTTGTCGATGTAAGCAGCCGCATTGCACGCTCTTTGTCGGTTGTCTTCACAACCTGGTGGTCACCTTTGAAAGATATCCTCATGTGGATCGGCTACCTCGGGACTGTTAGCACACGATCACGTTAGTTCTTTTTACTGAGGCGCTTAATGAACTACAACGGGTTATTGTTATATTGTAGCGTATTGAAAGGCAGATCGCTTTCTGCTTCTATGGTATCTGGTGTGCATATCATACAGCCCCAATAGAAAAGTATCTGAACGAGAGGGCGTTTGTGCTGGATAGGGGAGAAACTAATGACGTGCTGATATGGCTCGGAGCCGTCACCAATGACGTTTGTGTTGTGATTTCCTTTGTCCATCCCCCTCCAATCACGATCTCACTTTTTAGGCATAATACGAGTCTCTTAAACGGCAGCCAGCTGTTGACTCTCCGGAACGATGTCCATCCGTTACTGGGGACTCAGCGGGCGTGCAACTGTTTGCCACTGTTTTTCTTTTCTTGTCTTTTGTATTGCGGCACAATAGCTGAGGTGTTTTCCACCTCCAGCTAACGTGTACTGATGATGATGATGATGATGATGATGATGATGATGATGATGATGATGATGATGATGATGATGATGATGATGATGATGATGATGATGATGATGATGATGATGATGATGATGATGATGATGATGATGATGATGATGATGATGATGATGATGATGATGATGATGATGATGATGATGATGATGATGATGATGATGATGATGATGATGATGATGATGATGATGATGATGATGATGATGATGATGATGATGATGATGATGATGATGATGATGATGATGATGATGATGATGATGATGATGATGATGATGATGATGATGATGATGATGATGATGATGATGATGATGATGATGATGATGATGATGATGATGATGATGATGATGATGATGATGATGATGATGATGATGATGATGATGATGATGATGATGATGATGATGATGATGATGATGATGATGATGATGATGATGATGATGATGATGATGATGATGATGATGATGATGATGATGATGATGATGATGATGATGATGATGATGATGATGATGATGATGATGATGATGATGATGATGATGATGATGATGATGATGATGATGATGATGATGATGATGATGATGATGATGATGATGATGATGATGATGATGATGATGATGATGATGATGATGATGATGATGATGATGATGATGATGATGATGATGATGATGATGATGATGATGATGATGATGATGATGATGATGATGATGATGATGATGATGATGATGATGATGATGATGATGATGATGATGATGATGATGATGATGATGATGATGATGATGATGATGATGATGATGATGATGATGATGATGATGATGATGATGATGATGATGATGATGATGATGATGATGATGATGATGATGATGATGATGATGATGATGATGATGATGATGATGATGATGATGATGATGATGATGATGATGATGATGATGATGATGATGATGATGATGATGATGATGATGATGATGATGATGATGATGATGATGATGATGATGATGATGATGATGATGATGATGATGATGATGATGATGATGATGATGATGATGATGATGATGATGATGATGATGATGATGATGATGATGATGATGGTGATGGTGATGGTGATGGTGATGATGGTGATGGTGATGATGATGATGATGATGATGAATGACGTGCAGATACTGACCACTCCAGGTTGACCTTTCTGTGGACGAACCTGATGTAAATATCAGACTGCCATGTAATACGGAAAACAATTGCCTTGCTCATTGTTGCCTGTATTGTTGTTGATACGGATACGCGAAATGAAAATGTCATTTCACAGTCTGCGTCTTCTGATTTTTCTGTTCGGAATTATAAAGAGAACTTCTTTTTATATTGGGTTTACTTGCTTAGCCATCATTCATCATTATACACGTTAGCTGCAGATGGAAAACACCTCAGCAATACAAAAGACAAGAAAAGGAAAACAAACAGTGACACGCCCGCTGAGTCCCCAGTAACGGGTGGACATCGTTCCGGAGAGCTAACAGCTGGCTATCGTGCCGTAAAAAGAGAGTCATAGTATGCCTAACAAGTGAGCTCGTGATTGGAGGGGGGATGTTAAGTAGGAGGGGGATGGACAAAAGAACTCACAACACAAACGCCATTGGGGCCGGCTCCAAGCCATATCAGCAAGTGTGTCCAACCAAACGTGTTCACCGTCCTTAGGACCCCAGCCAGGCAGTCGGAATGCACCAACCGACGCCATCTTCGAAGTGAGGGTTTTCATCTCTCTCGACCGAGTCATCACTTGGCCTCCTTTCCTCCTCTTCCAACCGCACTCACAACGCGCAAACAATGCACGTCGCGGGAGTCGGTGTGCTGGCATGCGCAAAACGTGGCCAAGCCATCGGAGCCTGGTGCGTGATATAA